GATTCCATAAGTCGGTACTGATGTAAACTAACTCAAGCTGGCCTAAGGCAATGTTCTAAGTAGCGTTCAGTGAACATATAGTAGCAAAACGCTTACAGGTTAGAGCATTTCCGTTGCTGGAACGAACGCATATATTGTTCAAAACAGTGCTTCAATAGTTTTGCTTCACGACCCGGTCAAATGACACTCTTAAACCTCTAGATTTTGCTGTATAATCAAAATTATGTCACACCTTAATCCTTAATGTACTGTATTAGAGACGAAAATCAACCCTTCAATTTTAAATCGCAAAATTATAATAATTATACTCCAGAAAATAGTTTAATGACAATAGATCGTCTCGTCACCAGTCCATGGTAACGCACACACTATCAACGGTGCACCTTTGAGAAGGGCGAGACATTCATCATCTACTGATTTCGCGTTGCTCAGCTGAGGCAACTGAACAATTACTGTGTCCAACCACAATAAACTCAGCCATCAGAAATCTTACGTATCTCTGCCGGTGATGAGTTTGGTACTTTCTTCGTTACACGGCTGACAAGACTGACAAGATTCTCGTTATTCTCTCCGGGTTAGAGTAGCTAACTCTCTCAGTTGAGGTGGCACTTGTACATTTCCACTGTTAGTGCTTCCTGAACATATAGATTAAAACCTGCAGTCTTTTGCTGGATGCTCAAAAACGAGAGAATTAAATCGACGGTTTCCGTAAACTTCATGTGCAACGGGAAGGGGAGGTTGACTGCAGTCAGTAAGTAACTTTTTTGTTGAAAACAATAAGCAAGTTCGATCATACTTATTATGAATTATGGTGGATTGTGACGCTAGATAAGACGACGAGATCGAACTCTAGGTGCAAATCCCATAAAAATCTTATAAGCGTTAATTCCCGTGAGCGAAACAATTGCAAATAACATTTCGAAGCAATCAGCCGAGAAACTAACAGCAAGTCCTTGACTCGATAGCAACTGAAACAGTACGATGCCGTAGTGTGGTCATACCAGAATGGGCAAAAGGCGATGCAAATTGGCGCGAACGCCTGATGAGTTGCATTTCCTCTTGAACCA